TACAATAGGCTGACACACTGACAATTTTATCACAAGTGTTACATCACTCACTTCTAGTAGATCTTTAAATCTATTACAAGAGACAGTGTCGACTTATGAGCTTCGGATGAGTTGGAGAGCCTCTGAGAGATCTGAGATGGTTCTCTTAAGTGGAGGACTTCAACTCCTTTCTCAACTTCATTAGGCAGCTTCGTCTTTGAAGAAGTACCTTAGCCTGGACTTCGTCATGCAATGTGAGAACTTTGGACGTTTATGTGAGGACATCGGCTTACTTTGTATTATTTGTGTGTTTGACCTCCTGGGTCTTCTTTTGACTTTCTTGTTGACTATCGGCCCATGTGTCGTGCTACATTACCTTGTTTCAGTGGGACTCGGAGGCAAGGAGTAACAAGAATCCCCTAAATCTAGGCATGATTATTTATGTAATGCATAGACTTATTCAATTACTGTGAAAATAAGAAAAAAGTTTCGTAGGGGGTGGTTCTTTTTTTTTTCCATATCACAATAGTCTCCTAAGTCAAAGCATGATTATTTATGTAATTGTTAGAATTTGAGAATGTATCTGACCTTTGCAGATCTTATGTAAGTGGTTGACTTGATAATATATCATCACAGGAACGATTTTGGGAAAATCTACCAAAGTGGATGTATCCGAAGTGCCTTCACATAACCGATGTTGTAGATGAGGTTGTGAAGTACATAGGGCTTCAGATAGATAATTACGAGGCGTTTTAATGTCTTTTGGAAAAATGAGGCGTCCTCAACTATGGCGCCCTAATGATTTGATGTAGTGGTGCGTTTTCAAGAAAAATGCGGATGAGGCGGTACAACTTCCAATACACACAACGATCGCCTCATTTAATATGCAATCTTGGCTATCTCTCACGCACTTTATGGATTACAGATGCATGAGGGCGTGTGTGCCAGATGTTCTAATTTGAGCCTTAGAAGACAAAGCATCAGACGTGATGAATGGCTTAGATTATCGCTCTGATACCATTTTGTTGAGAAAAATATGAAAAATAATGGATAACACAACAACCAGAATTTTGTGGAAGAAGATGATAATTTATTTTATCACGAAACTAAAATTGTCTTTTCAAGATTTGATCATCTTAATCTAAATTTAAATAATTTTCTCAAGTTTCTAATATATACAATAATGATCTAATTGTTATCTTGAGTCTCTAAAGAGCCTACATCTTGTGGAGTATTTATGAAAGCCAAATCTTGGAGTTAATAACGTAGAACAAAAAAAACATCAAAAATCAAACAGGAGTGAAATTCCTCCCCCTGCGCCAGCTCTGGCCTTGTCGTTCCCAAATAGTGTTAATAGTGCTGTGGCGCCCATCCCCTGTTTGCCTCCGTCCTTATCCTTTCAAAGCACTTTTTCATCGATCCCAAAGTCTTTACTCCAATCAAACTCTCAATCCATGATGAAATTTAATCCCTTATTAAACCATAATTCTAAAATAAAATTATCCAGGCATTTTCCATGATTCAAACTTCCAAATAACATGGAATTTGAGTCACAAAACATAACAAATTTCACCTTGACACAAATTTCATAGCAAGGATTTAAGTCTTCACTATTTAAGTCTTCACTATTCAAGTCATTCTCCAACTCTTCCACCATGTCCCCTCCAGACACCCCATGCCCCTACCGGGAATACTCAACAACTGTGAACTAAATCCAAACTCTGCTTACCATCATAACTATTTTGCAGGTCGTCCTTGCTTGAATCATCTCGTTCACTTCCAACTCTAGTCGTGTCAATAAACCTGCTTGAATCATCACGAGTAATTCCAACTCTACCTGAGTTGCTAATCCTACTCGAATCACCATTAGCAACATGATCAACAAGATCACAACAATCTCCACTTGAGCTACTAGAAGATTGTCCAATATCATTGTTCGAATCACCACAAACAATCCGATCACAAACAACTCTACCCAAGTTATTGATTATTGAACCATAAGTTGTAGCACCCATCGCTGAACCTTCTAACATATATAATTGGGACTTCATCTATTCCCTTAACACAACCTGGGCACCTTTGCTGACTTGTAAAACTCTTACCTCTACGGGTATATCTATATCATTTTTAATCAAGAGTACTTAAAGAGATTACATTCCTATTTATACTTGGAACATGTCAAACCTGGCCAAGTGTTCTTGAAAAGGCCCAAGTCACACGATATTAAAACAAGATTAGTTTTCTTCAAGTTCAGTTTTCTTAGCAGCTAGTAAGTCTGCAGGCCAACTATTATCAAGAGCTATAGCTACTCTCATTCGCATTAAGATAGCTTTCATCTTTTGGCACCATAT